GTGTGAAATCTTAACATTCTTCAGGAAATTGAGTCAGGGGAATCTTGAACTTGAGCCCAGCCTGGGATTGAGCCTATCTATAGCTTAAAAAAAAAAAAAAAAAAAGAACAGGGACTGTCACCATGCTATTTCCCATTTCATTGTTCTATTCTGTCTCATTGTGCAATTATGAACCCAAGAGCAGGGTCCTGTGAAGTTTCTAATAACACAAAACTGGAGAAGAGTGTCCCCCTGTGTGGGGAGGGGGACCCAAAGTATGCTGATAGTAACATAGTAAACATAGGAGTCCTGAATCCTATCTGTAATTCTTATCAGCTCCCCCACTTCTCTGTCGTTTTGAAAAATAATGTATTTGGAGACAGACATGAAGAAAAAGAAGTTGTGAACTAGTGTGACTGTTGTACCATGTCAAATCAATTTCTCTAAGTCCTTGAAGGAGCACCTGCTTTGCACTGACAAAGGTTTTGTTCTTTAACTGTGACCTATTACTCGAAAATGCTCCTGATTACACAGCAGGGTGTGTCCTGTCAGGTGGCCCCTTCTATTTTCAGCTGCATATAAGTAGCTCTGCCAGGGCTGGGAAGCCAGCACACACCCAGAATTCTCATTTCCAGGATAATGGTTACAAAGCCAAGCACTTAAGATTTAGAACTAATGTTTTCCTTTCCTTTCATTTTGTTGTTGTTTTTTTGGGGGGGGTTGTTTGGGTTTTGTTTTTGTTTTTGTTTTTGTTTTAGACAGAGATGAGCACCAGACTTGCTGGGTATCCAAGGATTACCTCTTCAACTCTTGACCCTCCTGTCTCTACCTCTCAAGGACTGGAGTGACATGTGTGCACCCCTAGTCTATGTGGTTCTGGGCAGAATCCAAGGCTTTGTGTGTGCTGCACAGTCTACTAAACAGACCTGTGGGGGACCAATGCTTCTAAACACGGGGAAATGGTTCAGAAAAAGAGGTGGTTCTTTCGAAACACCATTATCTTGCTTCTTTTTTGAAAACTGTTCAGTTCCTTTCAGTGCTGTGGGTCAGGAGCTCAGCAGGGAAACAACCACGCAGGAGTTCTGGTTCCTTTGCCATCCCAGCTTTCCAGTCAGACCACAAGGAACTTGATGACAGTGACGTGAGCCTCTTACTTTCCCAGTAACCCTGACTCAGTTAGGATGCCTTCCCATGGGCATGTTCAGTGTTTCTGCTTTGTGAGTCCAGGAACTAAGCAGTGTATTCCTGGCATTATAGCATTTTCTGGCCTGTTGACTTGACTTACTGTGGTATTGTTGGGTTTGTGGGGAGGGCATGGGGGTAGTCCAAGGTGGCCTCTAGCTGAAGAGCCCTTTCCCTCTGCCACCTTAGAGCTGGAACTGAAGGGGCTGGCCAACCCTCCCAGCTTAACCACCTAGGCTTTAAGATGTCAAGCTATCTTTCTGATGGATGATCCTCTGACAAAGATTTGAGTTTAATGAGATTTTTCACCATTTATGTTGCTCCTGTGTGGGTATAGGGGAGGGGCCACAGTTGTAAGAGAGTCTCGAACCCACACCAGAACAAACTAGTATTTTCATCTGAAAAACAATTTATCAGATGGTTTAGATAGAAGATAGATATATAAATGGTAGTTGAATAGATGACAGGCAGATAAGAGGATAAATAGATGAATGAGGGATGGATAGATAACTAGAAGTATTTTTCAATATACAAAACTGTATTTTTTAAAAGAGGAATACAGCCTGCTGTGGAGGCAGACATCTGTGATTCCAGCAATTGGGAGGTGGAGTCAGGAGAATAAGGAGAACAAGACCAGTCTTGGCTACATAACAAGTTTGGAGACCAATCTGGGATTCAGAATACTCTATCTTAAGAAAACAAAAAACATAACATAAACCAGGGCACAGTGACCCAAGTCTATAATCCCAGCACTCTGGAAGCAAAGTCAGCACAAAAGAGATTTATTTGCTCCAAAGAGACAAAAGGCAGGGAATAAGAGACAGAGAGCACAAGGGAGAAGGAAACAGAAACAGGGAGAGAGGGTAAGGATATTTGCCCTGGAGGGACAAAGGGCTGCCTCTGGATAGAGAGGAGACAGATGTGGCCCATAGCAAAATAGCAGTTTATAAATGGCAAGGGGGAAACCCCATTTTAGTATGAGTTGGTTTTGACTGGGCATGTTAATTAGAGCAGACAAAAGGGGACTTTTGATTGCTGGACTTTAATACTTTGATAGCTGGACCTTGGTGATCAGCCTTAGGAATGAGTCTGGCTTAAGAAAGTGTCCAAAAGAGGAAATAGCTTTAGGGATATAATCTATGGTTTACAAGGGAGAGGGAAGGGGGATGGGCAAGGCCTGCCAGTGCCACATTTGCCATGCTGGGACCTGCTAGAGCTCCTTCAGACATCCTCTTTCCTTAGCCTCCAAGATGCTATATGATAACAGGCATGAGCCACCATATCTGGCTCTTTGAGAAATGTTTTAATCATTAAAATGTGGCTCTCAAAAAGGGCGTGGCATATGTCCCATCCTTGCAACCCCAACACTGAGAAAGCTGAGGTAACAAGATCTGGAGTTCAAGACAAATCTGGCCTTGAAACATAGTTAAGACTGTCTCCAAACTATCAAAGATTGGAGAAGTGGCTCAGTGGGGAAAGGTGCTTGTCATGCAAGTGTGAGGAAGCCCAAATGAGGGATAAGGGTGTGTGTGTGTGTGTGTGTGTGTGTGTGTGTGCCCGAGAGCACACACTCGAGCTGGCAAAACAGGAGGATAGCTAGGACTCAATGGCTCCAGGCTCAGTGAGAGACCTTGTCTCAAAGGAGAAGGACAGATAGTGGGATATTCACACATGTCAAGCTTGTGAACTCTATACCAAAGTCTCTGCTTGTTCCTTCTGACATGAAATTCTAGCTGTAAGAGCTTGGAAGCCAGGAGTTTCTCTTGCAATGACCTACACACCAATATCCCATGCCCACTCTCCAAACCCCCCCCCCCCCGGGGGGCCCCCCCCCCCAAAAAACTCCCACCCTTTCACAGGCTGCTTCCCCAAGGTCTCCCCCAGCAACTCACCATCCCTCACTTTTTAAGGGGGGCAGTTTACACTCTCTCCCCAGAGGTCATGAGACTCTTTGAGGGTAGAGGCAAAGATAAGGCTTCTGAAGTCTGTTTCCAAGTTCTCACATTCAAAGAGGAAGGTCACCAACACGGTATGCCTACTTCTGCACATGACCAGTTTAGGATGAAGCAATCCTTGCAGTTCTAGTGCTGGAGGCAGAGGGAGAAGAATGAGCCAGCACAACGGGAACCACACAACAGCTCAGCTGAGGCAAGGGGCAGGGAAAAGTGGGGAGGCCACACTTCTTAGCCCACTAGGCTCAAGACACCAAGTGTTGTTTTTAAAGACAGGATCTCTCTATGTACCCCCTGAATTCCCCAAGTAGACCAAACTAGCTTTGAACCTAGAGGTTACCCTGCCTTTGCCAGTCCAACACTGGGATTGAAGGTGTGCATCAGCTCTCAAAAGAAAAACACCAAGCCAGCCACAAACCCTTTATCAACAGTGATGTAACTGCCTGCAAGATCTGCTAGGGCATTGGTGGCACAAAGCTTGTGGGTGTAACCAATAAGTGATTTGACTTAATGTCCACTCCACAAGATGGAACTTATATCTGACACTGCTTGGATGACCAACAACCTCAGACTAGATAGCCCAGGGACCTAGGGTAAAACCAGATAATGACCTACAAGAGAAAATGTAATATATTCTAAGCTAGGCAGTGGTGGTGCATGCCTTTAATCCCAGCACTCGGGAGGCAGAGGCAGAAGGATCTCTGTGAGTTCGAGGCCAGCCTGGTCTACAGAGCGAGTGCCAGGATAGGCTCCAAAGCTACACAGAGAAACCCTGTCTTGAGAAACAAAGATATTCGTCTATATTTGTACATCAATGCCTTGTTCAGTTATCATCAGAGGAGCTTCCTCCTGCAACAGATAGGAACACAGATAGAGACCCACAGCCTGACACTATGTAGAGATTCAGAGACTTTGGGACTCAATCCCTCCCCTCAGAACTCAGGGAAACACCCTCACTTCCTTCTAGCCACTCAGAAAAGGAGTCAGAAAGACTCCTAAGAGCCAGAGAGGATGGAGGGCACTAAGAAAAACAAAGCCCTCTAAATCAACATGAGAAAAGGGCATATGAACTCAGACACTGTGGCAGCACGCTCAGGGCCTGCACCAGGTCTTCTGCGCATGTAACATGGCTTGCAGTTTAGTGGTTTTTTGTGGGATTCCTGAATGTGCAGTGGGTCTCTGAATTTTTTTTTTTTTTTT